TTTTTTCTTCCTATTCTGAATATATTTTATTGTCCTATTGCTTTAGCTAGGTCTTCCAGTATGATGTTATAAAGCAATAGTGAGAGGGAACACCCTTGCCTTGTTTCTGAGTGTGGCAAGAAAGCTTTAAGTTTCCCACCATTAACCATATTGGCCAAGGCTCTGTATATATTATCATATTGAGGAAGTTCTTCTTCTATTCCTAGTTTGCTGAGGTATTTCTAAAATCATGAATAAGCAGAGGCTGAGGCAGAAGGATTGCAAGTTCAAAGCCAGCCTCAGCAATTTAGCAATAGTGAGACCCTGTCTCAAAAATAAAAAATAAAAACAGGTTGGTAATGTGGCTTTGCAATTAAGCACCCATGAATTCAATCCCCCATACCAAAAATTTTTAAATAAAATAAAATATAATGAAAAAAAATAAAATCATGACTAGGGCAGGGCATGATGGTTCATGCCTATAATCCCAGCAGCTTGTGAGGCTGAGGCAGGAGGATCATGACCTGAAAGCCGCCTCAGCAACTTGAGGCCTTAAGCGACTTAGGGAGAATTTGTCTCAAAATGAAATATAAAAAAGGGCTGGGAATGTGGTTGAGTGGTTAAGAACCATGGGTTCAATTCCCGGTACCAAAAACAAAAACAAACAAACAACCCCGCCCCACACAAAAACCAAAAATCATAAAAAGAAATTGGCTTATGTCAAATGCTTTTTTTTGCATTTAATAATTTGATTGCTATTTTTCTTTAGTCTATTGATGTGATGACATGAATAGCTTTTGAATTTTGAGCCAGTCTTGTATATCTAAGATAAATCCTATTGCTCATGATGCAAATTTTTTTCAATATATTGTTGGATTCAATTAACTAATAACTTGTTGAGAATTTTTGCTTCTATATTTTGAGAGATGTCAGTCTATACTTTCCTTTTCTTTGTCCAACTTTGTTATTGGGGTAATGCTGATCTCATAGAGAAGTATTCCTTTGGCATCTATTTTCTGGAATAGATCATAGATACTTGGTTTAATTTCTTCTTTACATATTTGGGAGAAATCACCAGGAACTATCTGGGACATCTGCTATCTGGAGATAATCATTAATTATTGATTAAATTTCTTTACTAGAGATAGGACAATTCATATTTAGGGGGGTGGGTACCAGGGATTGAACTCAGGGGCGCTCAACCACTGATACACATCCCCAGCCCATCATATTTTATTTAGAGTTGCTTAGTGCCTCAAGGAGGCTGAGGCTGGCTTTGAACTTGTGATCCTCCTGTCTTCCCTGTGCTGCTGAGTTTACAGGCGTGTGACACCATGCCTGGCTTCATATTCTCTATTTTTTGAGTGACTTTTTAGCAAGATATTTTTTTCAAGGAATTGGTCCATTTCTTACAGCTTATCAAATTTGTGGGCATGAAGTTATTCATAATATTCCTTTATTATCGTTTTAACATGATGGAATATATAGTGATGTTCCCTCTTCCATTTCTAATATTAGCAATTTGCAACTTTGCATTTTTTTCTTAGCCCAACTAGAGGCTTATCAATTTTATTTTTTTTTCTAAGACTAACCTTTTATTCTTTTGCCATTATTTGTTTTCTGGTTGTTCCAATGTTTTGTTTTCTTTTTTCTGCCTTCCTGTGGATTATTTTTTATTCTTAGAATTTTACCTTGATGTATAGTGGTTTTAAATGTATCTCTTTTTATAGTCCTTCTAGGGTTGGTCTAGATACTACATTGTATAGGTACAGCTTATTAGAATAGTCTACTGTTGCCACCATTTTACCAGTTTGTGTGAAGTACAGAAACATTGCCTCTCTTTATGCCTCTTTACTCTCTCATATTTGTAATTGAAAATCAATTCCTCTATAAACATGGAAAACTAAAATAGACAGCTATTAATTTTGCTTCAATAGATATCATTTGGAAAAGTTAAAGAGGTTATTCTACTTACCCATATTTTCTACTCTTTCAGTTCTTCCTCTCTCATAGTCCAAGTTTTTTTTAAAAAAATTATTTCCTATGACCATTCTATTATGCAGGTCTGCTGGCAACAAGTTCTCTTGGCTTTCCTTTATCTGAGAATGTATTGGTTTCCCCTTATTCCCATCTGGCCTTCATGAATTCTGGTAAGAAATTCAGTGTAATTTGCATTATTTGTCTTATGTAATATGTCCTTTTGTCAGTACTTTCAACATTTTTTTCCTTTAGTTCTGAGAAAATTGATAGTGATATGTTTTAGTATGTGCTGTGGGAGTTTTTTTGGAGTTCACTCAGCTTTCTTAATCTATAGATTTATTTTGTTTGACAAATTTGGAAGCTGGGATTATAGACATGTGCCATCACACCTGCTAATTTGGGAAAAATTTAGAAATTATTTCTTTGAATACTTTTGAACTCCTATCTTCTTTCTCCTTTTCTTCCAAGACTTCAATGAAAGTGAGATTTCTATTACAGTTTCAAAAAAGTTGATGTTTCGTCCCCCCACAGTCTACTTTTTTTTTTGTTGTTGTTCAGATTTGGCTAATTTCTATCTTCAAATTCATTCTTTCTTCAGTCCTTATTCTCTTGAGCCCATTTAACCCCCATCTCCATTATTGTATTGGATAGTTCTAAATTTCCATTAGGTTCTTCTTTTATTTTTCGGGACTTTCTACCTCCATGCTGAGACTGTCTTCTTCATTTATTTAAAGTGTGTACAAAGTTACTTTTTTAAGGATTTTTATGAAGGCTGCTTTAAAACCCCATAATAAACCAGATAATTCTAACATTTTTGTCATTTCAGTGTTCCTGTCTGTTGTCTTTTGTCATTCAGGCTAAAATCTTTCTGGTTTGTGCATGAGTGATTTTTGATTGAAATGTGAATATATTGTATAGTTATGAGACTCTGGATCATATTAAAACATGCTTTAGCACCTGACATTATTACAATCTTTGAGTAGGGTGTGATGTTGATATCTAGGGGGAGGGGGTCTGTTACTGCTGAATAGGGGCTGGAGTTCATAGGCTAGGCAAGGAAGATGAAGTGGAAGTGAGTGGTCTCAGTTGAGTGGTAGAGACAAGTCTTTTGGTTAGGCTTCCTCAGACAACACCTAATAAGTAAGGGAATTGGAGTCTTGCTACCCTCAGGAAGTCAAGTTCCAGTGTTCCCATGTATTATTTTCACATTGTGTTGGGAAAGATTTTCTTTACCACCTGCTTGGGCTTGAAACGTGGTAGTTGGAACACATTGTCACAAACCAAAGAACATAGACAGCTAGATTTCACACCTAGTATTTAATGGTGGGGGGTGTTTTTGTTATGTGGTATTTGGTTAGATAGAGTAGTATTACATGTTTTTTGGTTTTTTTTGTCATGCTTAGGTTGCCCCGTTCCTAGTCTTTGGTTTTAAAGGGAGGAGGCTTTTCTTAGGCCTTTAAGTCTGCAATCAGTATCTTCACATTGTTGGTTTCTCCAAGATCCAGTATGGGTTATCTGGGACAATACAAAATCCAAGGAACTCATCAATTGTATTTTTCCTTAATTCCCAAAGTCTCTAGCAGTCTGCTTATTTTTCAGTTTTAAGTCTTCCTGTGTGTATGTTTTCCTGATACTGGGGACTGAACCATTGACCTATGTCCCCAGTCCTTTTTGAGACAGGATCTCAAAAATTGCTGAGACTGGCCTTAAACTTGCCTCTAGCTTCCCAAGTCCCTGGGATTACAGGTGCACAACACCAAACTTGGACTATTTGTTTTACAAACAATGATCAGGGTTTTTAGCTATACTCATCAGAAAGAATAGCTTTTTTAAAACATTGTTTTTTAGTTGTAGATGAACACAATACCTTTTTTTAAAAATTTTTATGCGGTGCTGAGGATCAAACAAAGTGCCTCACATATGCTAGGCAAGCACTCTATCACTGAGCAACATTCCCAGCCCGTCTATGTCTTGAATTTTATATCTATATATGATGATTACATTTAAAGATAATTAGAAAGAAACAGGATCTATGTTGCCTAGGCTGACTTCAAACTCTTGAGTTCAACTGATCCTCCAGACTCAACTTCCAAGAGTGGCTGATTACACATATGTCCCACCATTCTTGGACCCTTTTTGGGATGAGAAATTGGTAGAAATATAATTTAACCATGAGTTGATAATTGTTGAAGATGGGTGATGGATATGGAGATTCATTACCCTATTTTATTTTTGTATTTGTCCGAAATGCTCCTTAAAAAGAAAACAAAAAAAGTTCTTGACTACCAGTCTAAGTAATACTATAGAATTTTATAATAATCATGATTTTCTCTGTAGTGATTGTCTCCATTTCTGCTAAGAGTATAAATTTGATATTTAATATGGGCACATTTACCATAGCTAAAAAGAGACTGACATATGGTTGTCACTCAAGTTGCCATGTTTCCTCATATATAAGATGTCTTAGATAGTAATACACCTTAATTTTTATGTAGCATTAAGAAAAACTACAGTATGCTGATTTTAAGATCAAACATTATTACCCTATGTACATATATGACTACACAACTGTATGATTCTACATCATGTACAACCAGAATGAGAAATTATACTCCATTTATGTATGATGTGTCAAAGTGCATTCTTCTGTCATGCAAAACTAATTAGAATTTAAAAAAACTGGAATTTTTTACAAGTGCTTTGATTTCAAAGATGCTATCATGTGAAAAAATGCTCACTGCCATCTGTGAAATTAATGAATACTCTGAAATCACACGAGGTCAAGATTATAGTGAAAATATCTTTAAATGGGTTTAAGACAAATGAGAGTCTGGTTTGAGGCTGTTAACAATTCTGGCATGAACATGTTTCTTTCCCCAGATACTAAAATTTTATGTACAACTTTATAGGTGGAATGGCAAATCTACATGTAAAAATGTTCGCCAAATCCCTAAGACATACTCTACATGTTTTCACTGAGAGCATGCTCACAAAATTTTACATGAAAAATGGCTTAATTATTTGCAGAAAAAAAGAGGTAGTGACAAGGGGATCCAAATTTCTTTATTCTCTTCCTACAAAATCATGTAAACATCAGTACAGACCTGTCCTTATCCCCAAATCCAGAATCATCATGACACATTAACCTTACATTTAAAATAAAGTCAGGAGCAATAAAGCCAATTACCAGATGACCATATGCAGCTTTGTTGTCTTGTCTGGGAAACCTTCCAACTGAAGGCACAATTGATCTATGTAGTATCTGGTGAGCAGGGACTCAGGACATTTTGCTGGGACAGAGGGCAGTAGTGGGTCAGTGGATCTTAGCTGTTTGTTCTAGCAAGTATCACTTTGGAATGTCCCCCTTTATCCTCCCAAAATGACAGGATTAATTTTCTGAGCTCAACATGTACCAGCAATGGCCAGACTTGGTCTTCCCTGCAAACAAAGAGATGGGAGGTATTCACAGGTTTGAGAGAAGGAAGTGCAGGCCCTCTCAATCTTGGTATGCTAGATTGTCTTCTGCATCAGAATGAAAAATAAAAATCAAACCAAAACAAAAAACATGAACATACAGCCACACAGACTGAAGAAAGGAAAAGAACACAGGTATAAATCTATGCAGCCATATTCCTTCCTGTTGAGGAATTTTTCCAAAAATGTGACCCAATATTTTGCTTACTATATTCTGGAGTCAGACAGCTTAACCACTTTGGTTTCCAGAGCAATATGTACTAGAGAGAAGTATCAATCACTGGGCTGGGTTAGATCTCCTTTTTTAATCTCCCTTTTAAATACTGGTTTGAGTATGCCTGCTCTAAATGCCTTTGCAACCAGCAACAAGAGATAATCCTTTTGGAAACAACTGAATGTACCCAACTAATAACTAGTCACTCATGATGAAAAACGAACTACACAGGTTAAGAACCCCTAATGTGAAAATAGGAAATCTTAAAAGCTCCAAAATCTGAAACTTTCTCAGTGCCAACACAACACTATGTGGAAAATACCTCATCTGACTTCACGTGACAAGCCCCAGTCAAAGTGCAAGTGCACTAAAAATGTGATGTAAAATGACTTTCAGGCCATGTGTATATGTGAAACATAAATGAATTTTGCACTTAGACTTGGGTCCCATTCCAAAAAAAAAAAAAAAATCTCATTTTCTACCCAAATATTTTAAAATCAGAAAACAATCTAGAATCCAAAACTCTTCTGGTCCCAAGTATTTCAATAAGGGATATTTAACTTGCTAGGTAATAAGGGTGTCAGGGCCCTTTTCAAACAGATCCTTACATAGATAACACAGCAAGTCCCTTTTCCATAATGAACTCCTTCAGGTTGAGCTTGTTCGATAACCCCAAACCTCTGGGCATCTGTTACTCTCTGGAAAAATAAACTAAAATTTGTAGAACAAGCAGATTGGCTAATATATAGTAGGTACTCCATTATGTTTCCTGGTCAACTGATATATTTTTGAACACAAAGTATGTGTTCAATTTACAGTGTTTTATTTCCCAGTAGGTGCTACTTATTCCATTTTCTAGCTAAGTTAGGTCAGAAATCAATTTATTTCAACAAGGTTAAAATATTAACTAGAAAAATGGCCAGCATTTGAACTCAATTTTCCTGAATTAGAAATCTCATGTCCTTTCCATTACTAGACATTTGTTTTGTTAAGTTGCTATTATAGATCTGAATGAGTTAGTCAGAAATTGAAAAGAAAGCTTTATTAAAAATCTAAGATTTCTACATGAAAAAAGGAGTAACAATATGAAAACAATAAACCCTGTATAAAAGAGAGTAAAAAGATACGGTTAAACACCTCAGAATAGATACAAATGTTAACGAGATGTTTAATTTCTCCTTCTTTTTTGAAGAGGACCTTTAATGACAAAGTAGCTACGTTTGCTCTACGTTTCCTCCTTCCTTAAAAAGTCAGGCATGAGCTCTCATGTTAGCTACCCTACTGTCAGGGCATACTGGGACGAAGAACTGGTCTTCCAAGAGGTTTCTTGGAAATCTCTTAACAGCAAGAGAGGCAAGGCAATTAGTAGGTGGCTCCATCACTACCGCTGTACAACTAAGAGCAAAATCTCTGCTTCTGTGTTTTGGAATACTGAATTGGGTAGTCTTCTAACCTGGATCCATAATTTCTCTACTGCAAGAACCAACAAACACTGTTCATGAAACACTTTAAGCAACTAAGAGGGGAAGAGCATAGGGATGGAAAAATAAGGAAAGGAAATATAACCATAAATGCTTAATTAAAGCACAGATTAGGCTGGGAAAGAGACTTCAGTATCAGCAGAAATAAAGCCAGACGCCTTCAAATTTAGGAGATGATTAAAAATCTTAGTTATTACGATAAACAGCTTCATCAATGTCAAGCGTCTGCCATCAGGTACCAAATCCTATTATCCTATCAATCTTTATACAAACATAAAGAGTTGCAGATACTGAGCCAGGTGTAATGGTAAACACTTGAAATCCCAGCTCTCAGGAGACTGAGGCAGGAAGATCTTGAGTCCAAAACCAGACTGAGACCTGTTTCCAAATGAAGAAGAAGAAGAAGAAGAAGGAGAAGGAGAAGAAGAAGGAGAAGGAGAAAAAGAAAGGACATGAAAGAAAGGAAGAAAGAGAGAAGAAGAAAAGAGTTACTGGCATAGGCCCTATTTTTTTTTCTTCCAGTGCTGATAACAGGAGTTTAGGCCATCTACTGATGTTCCTTATAACAGGATTTGATCTCCATCAGCTTTTCCTGACAACTGACTATAAACCAGAACAACACTATAATTTAGGACTATTTTGAAAATCTAAATAAGTGCTTTTGTGATTAAACTCTACTCAACACAAGACTTGACTTTGGCTTTCAGTTTAATCTTCTAAAGACTTCATTATTTATTTTTGTTGCCACTTTTAAAAGAACAAAGTTGTGAATAACAGATTTTAAACAAAGCCCTGATAAAGCTTAAAATTCCCCACAGCAGTTTTATTTGGATTTTATGTGTTCCACATAAACACTTAAAGATCATGTTTATATAGTATATAAAATATAGATGATATGGAAGTTTCTGACAAATGATTTATTAATGAAAAATTATCAACTATATAACCTATGAATACCAGAAAAACTTCAATATGTACAAATCAGCATGAAGTTTCTGGTTCCCAAACTTTGGTTATATGAAATGCCTCAAGCACCACAGAACAAATATTGATCCTAATAATAATTAAAAAAAAAAAACTCAAACAAACAAAACTCTTCAACCCTCTTGAATTTGTTTTCATTACACCATATGAGGAAAACTTTTACTCTACATTTTCTTTCATCTTGGTCAGTTTCTAGAAACAGTGTCAATAAAAATTGATTGGGATAAAATGGATAGACAAACCATACAGATAAAAGTGGATGTATTAAAAGAATAACTTCTGAAAATTATTCTGATTTAAATAAAGAACAACATAGGATATGTGCACTATGTAACATATATGAAAAAAAAACTTCTTAATTTTCAAAAATTCACACAACATAAGCCTGTTAGTGTTGGGATGAAAGGTTCACAGGGAGATGTGTAGCAAATTCTATTACAGAGATTCCTGGATTTTAACTTTTTCCCAGGCTCACTGGCATCTGCAAGCTGCAGAAGCAATTTGTATAATATACATCCATGAATAAAGAAACCTGATAGCTGAGCACAGTCTTTCATGGAGATTTTTACAAGAAATCTGATGGACAAAAGACAAATCAAAGAGTGAAAACTAAAACAGAAGAAAATGGAAAGATAACATATCTAAGCCCATATAAGTCAGGATGGGGAAAGTTTAGATGTACAAACTGACAATTGCATATGTTTAGAAGGGATTACATCCTTGACTACAAATGTAGATTATATACACACTTACATTAACTTAAGTCATTCATATATTACACCTGACAATTCAAACAGGATGTCTCTGAGCAGTGGGAGGAGGTTCTGTTCACTTGGCTCCTCAAGTCCCTGTCTTTTGTACTGGCTGGTTAACAGTCTCTGTACAGGACTCAACAGCATGGTACATGAATGGATAAAGCTTGATGTCTGGTCCAGGGGTAGAACAGTTCCTGCATTCTTCATTGTAGTATCGAAGCAATAGTTTATAGACTTCTCCTGGAGGGTAAATGGTCAGAACAATTTGCATGTGAGGTATGTGGATGGAAAAAGCTTCAAAAGAACACTAGAGTTTTGTCATAATCTAAAGAGCACATTGGCTCAGATTTGGTTTTTGAAACTACAGTATGAATTTCTTATGTTTAAAAGGCTTTCCTGGCATAAACTTAAAAATTTTACAAACACTTTAAAGAAAACAACTTAGCTCATGATAACATCAGGCTACATATGGTAAACTGTCCACACCCTGTTGTGGGAGTTCATGCAATCCTAGTTATACATTCAGCTCCTAAGGTAGTAATCACACTGGATGAGCATACTCCATATCTGATAAATACCACAGATTGAGACTTCTTATGTTTGAATTTACTTTCAGATGTCTTCCACTTTTTTGCTTTCTTTTTTTCCTTTTAATTTTTTTCTTTTAGTTGTCAATGGACCTTTATTTATTTATATGCGGTGCTGAGAATCAAACCCAGTGCCTCCTATATGCTAGGCAAGAGCTCTACTACTGAGCTATACTCCAGCCCCTCTTTTAGTTTTCTATACCCACAAAAGTAAAAATTGAAAGTAACTCCAGTTTCTTGACTTTAATAAGCTGACATACTCATTCAAAATTGTGGATGAAACTCTGCCAGAAAAATAGACTACAAATGTAGTCCCTCTAAGAGCTTTGTTCTATCCCCTTGAAGTAATGCACTTGTTTCTTATCCACTATGATCCATCCAGATTTAGCAAGTGTTCCTCCTAGATGGTGTATAATCCATCTAGCTACCAAGTATCAAGACTACCACCTACTTACCAACAGTCAGTTTCCTCTCAGTAAGGAAAGTGTGCATACTGTAAACGTCTCTCATCAATTCTGAGTCCCCAAAGGTAAAATAAACCACATCTCGTTCAGCTGCTGCAGCTGCCAGTATCTGTATTAAAGCTATAGCAAAGAGAAAAGATACAGCTCTATTATGATACTTCTACTATCAAGTTACCTTTAATTCTTTCAACCTGCTAACTTGTAGCTGGTATATCACAGCTTCATCCCAGATCCAAGATTTATAAATAAAATATACATTATTACATATGATGAATACAAAATAAGCATAAATCATCTAGCTGTGTGACTTTCCAGATATGCTGCTGAGAATACCATTGAATCATAGGATTTCAACACAGATACCTTCTTTGGATCACAAATAAAGAGCATCTGAAACTGCAAATCAAGGCACTGAGGTGGTATTTATATTCACTTCTGTTAATCCAGAACTAATAGTTTTGTTTGCTTGCTTGATTTTATAATTTTGTCTTATTAAACAGTCACTGTTCTTTTGTATCACAGGCATATTTGGGGGGTTCCAATTCTCATCAATGCCACAGCAAGCATTCTCAAACAATATCCCTCTGTGCTTGTACTGCCAATGTTCCTGAAGCATGGAGTCAGGAGTCAGTGTTACTGAAGATTCAGTAACTGTCTAGTATGTTGGAATAGAAAACAACTAAGACCTACTATCTTCAAGAGTCAAAGCTACAAATCAATGAGCCTGAAATATGTCTGCAAAAATCAAGTTTCTTTGCAAGCTTAATCTCCATAGGTAGGATTTATTTTGAACCACAACAAAACTGAATATGGTTACAATAATGCCCTTTTGCTCATTGTATATCTTTCACTTCATAAAAAAAGAAGGTGGGAGTCAAATTAAAACATTACGGAGGGGCTGGGGTTGTAGTTCAGTAGTGGAGTGCTTGTCTGCAATTTAAAAATTAAAAAAAATTTTTTTAAATAAAAGTAGATTTTTTTAGTTGATTTTATTTTTTAAACACATAACAGCGGAATGCATTACAATTCTTATTACACATACAGAGCACAATTTTTCATATCTCTGTTTGTATATAAAGTATGTTCACACCAATTCATGTCTTGTCCATCACATTCCACCATCATTGCTAACTCCTTGCCCCCTCTCTTCCCCTCCCACCCCTCTGCCCTATCTAGAGTTTGTCTATTCCTCCAATATATATGATATATATATATATATATATATATGTTTGTGTGTGTGTGTACATATATATCTATACAGAGGATATCTTTTTATTATTTTGATTGAGGGCATTCTAATATTCTATATATTCAACATTAATATACATGAAAATGGGGAGGAACCTACAATTGAAAGCAAATAAAACAAGTTAGCCTACTTTTAGTTTAAGTGACTAAAATAACTACACTGAAGGGAAAGAAAAAAGAAAAAAAATGAAAGAAATTATGAAGATGGTTATGTGATCACTTCTGGTCTTAGTCAAATTCTTAGGAAAGAACTGCAAAAAAATTCTCATCTTTTTTTGCTAGGAATGTTTACCATAATAATTAAATATAAAGCAATTCTGAAACTATTTTTAAGTGTATTAGAGGATGAGCAAAAGAATAAATATGTTGATGCTACTGAGAGCTCAGAGTCTCACTATGAGAGAATGGACACACAGACATAGAATGAAGGAAGACAAAAAATAACTCCACGAGGATGGATAAAAATGGAAGACAGCCAGGCACAGTGGTGCATGCCTGTAATCCCAACAGTTTAAGAGGCTGAGTCAAGAGTATCACAAGTTCAAAGCCAGCTTCAGTCATTTATCGAGAACCTATCTCAAAATAAAAAATGAAAAGGATTAGGAATGTGGCTCAGTAAAGTACCCCTGGGTTCAATTTCCAGTGGGGGCGGGGGAGAAAGAAAGAAAAAGGAAGACAATAGTGTGTGTTCATGATGTCTAAATTAGAGACATATTTGTGAATATGTGTTTATACATATTTATTTTCTAGTTCTGCTGGGTGGATGGGCAAAAACAGACACTCTAGCAGTACCAAATACACTGAGTACTCAGACTGAGGTCTCTAATTCCGTTCCTCCTAAAAGGAATGGACTCCTAGGGAAATGCCTGATTCCATGGTTGGGGCAGGCAGGTACAAGATGAGCCCAGAATGTTAAGTAGTGCTAAAAATAAATTAATAAATTAATTAACTAATTAATTAAAAAGGGAAAAATTGGTGGGAGCTTATCACAAGAAAATGGGAGTTTGAAGGAGTTTCCATTACCCAAATCTGGATGAGCTAACCACCAAAATACTAGAAGTATAGCAATCAATTAATTACAAATTATTAAAAAATGTGTACCCTTGATTAATACCTATTAGATACATAAAGGAGGGGGTATCACAATAGGAACAACTTCTCTGTGTAATCAACCATGGTTAATACTGGATGAGGAAAGGATCATTTGTAGATGTGAAGTCAAGGGGAAATTTTGAGTTACAGTATCTTCCCACAGATTGCTTACTAGTTACAAGGTGGGGTGGGAACCTCAGTTAACTATGCACTACAGAAATCAGGCAACATCTTTACTGTGTAATCAAAATAAGAATCAACATTGTGTCTGATATCCTCCAATGCTTCTAGACACTATTACTGATGCAATGGTTCTGATTAAGAATACATTATCTTAACCTCATTATGAGGAAAAATAGTAAACTCAAAGAATGTGTTAGTCTTCAAAAAACATGTTGATGTCATAAAAGATAAAGGCTGTTTTGAAATACTATGAATTCAAAAATGAGTCTAAAACATGTGGCAACTAAATTATGTAGCTGACCCTAGACTCTGTGTTGGAGGAGAAAAGACTAGAAAGAGCTTTATTAGGTTATCTGACATAAAAATATAAACAATAGAAAAAAGCACTAATGTATAATATAGATTTAATAACTAAAGTTTAAGAGTTTTTTCCTCCTTTCCCTTAGGAAATATATACTGATGTATTTAGAGGGCATAATATATGTAACTTAGCTCAAATAGTTCAGGAAAAAAATTGTGTGCATGTGTATAGACATAAACATTATATATTCAGCGACAGGTAAATTATTTTTAATTTTTTTATAAATTTGAAAGGTTTTTAGTATTTTTTAGTTTTTTTTTTTGGGGGGGGTGCTGGGGATTGAACCTGAAAGGATTTTTAAATAGTTTAAAAAGTTACGAAGGAAAAAATATTTCAAGGCAAACTAGAAAAATTTGGTATAGTCAAGTATTCTCCAGATTTGGGAAAGAATTTATGTTATAATAATAACACATGAGATTGATTTCCAAACTACTATTTATTGAGTATCCACAACTTGGGAGGTGCCAATGACTAGATCTCATTAATTTCAGAATGCTGAAATTGGTTAATTTCAAAAGAGGTAAGTTTTAATTAAAACTGCTCATCCAACTTATGCATACATTAAAGCTTCACTACACCCAATTTTAAAAGTTTCTAATTAACCTAAACTACATATAAAAATGTCATCTTTCTCTACCAAGAGGTATAATCTCTTCCCTTTCAGTAAGAATAAATATTTAGCTTTAAGTGCTTCCTATTAAAAAAAAAATAAAGACTTGAAGAGAAGTCCTTTTGGTTCTATTTCCTATTAGATCACTGGTCATTTGTCATTTTGGGCCTTAGGCATGCTAGACAAGCACTATACTACTGAGTTATACTCCCAACCCCAAGCATGACATTTTTTATTTCACATCCATTTCTGTTTGAGTCCATAAGTACATGTTAGACTAATTAGGACTGGGAGACAGAAGATTCAAAGTTAGTCCACATCCTCTGCTAGCTAGCTATCTCTAGCTAGTTGCTTAACCCTCTTGGCCTCATTTTTCTGTTATACAATAAAGCATTTGAATCAGATGATCCAGAGTTTAAGATTCCATAATCACTGAATTTTTCTCTATGTATCATCAGATATTAGATTATAAACACACAAAGGAAATTTCCAGGAAGATAAATTAATCTCAACCCTAGATACATCAGTAGTCACTGGCAAAAGCTCACTTAAATAATAGTACATGGACCTCACTCACTCTCTCTGATATTCCCAAGATCTTTGTAAATCTAGAGAATTATGCTGCATGATTTAAATGAACTATCTTCTACCTAAAGGTAGATGAGAATAAATCACAAATCTAATAACGTATGTGGATTGATTCCAAGTTAGACACAAAAGCATGAAATTCTAACTTCAAGCACAACTAGGTGCCAAAATAATCACTTAAATTAACCTGCAGGGAGTTTGGTTTTAATTTTCTTTCTGGCATTCAGTGTTAAGCTATGAAGAAAATATAAATAAATGTGAATAACCTCAAAAAACAATTTATAGTGTCCTACTGCAATAAATGAATCAAACAGAAAATGGTTAAAATGATGGATACTATCGCACAGGTGTTGAGGCCACCAGCACATAATATTAGTAACCCCTTGCTAACAATGAGAGATCTTACAGCATGTAAACACTGTTGTAGGAGTTTTACAAGCACTGACTTATAACTTATAAGGATTACTCCTTTTAATCTTTACAGAAACTGAATGAAGTAATTATTAGTATTATTTTGTTTTTAAAATAATAGGCACCAATAGGCTAAGTAATTTATCTAAGGTCATTTAGGTCAGAATGTAGTGGAGTTGAGAGTTGAACCCCTACAGTATGACTCAAGGGCCTCATGCCCTCACCCCTCTTCTTCCAGGCTGCCATGACACATCATTCTGCTCAAGGTCAAGCAGATCTTACCACATGCCAGTTACAAGAACTTCCTTGCACTGTTTACTGTTATTTGAATGCATTTTGGCAAACAGTACAGACCTAAAAACACTACCCATGTCCTTCTAGTGAACCCAAGTTCTTTTGAGAGCTCTCACACCAGTAGTTGCCCTGAAAACCCAAACATTGCTCACTAGCCCAAGGCACCTGCTTGTTTCCACAAAACAGCATGTTTCTAGGCCAACTCCTATTCTTTCTCTGCTCTTGTCCTCTGGCTACTCTTCTTAATCTTGACTTGTCCCACTCCCTCCTCCCATTATGGAGGTTTCTAAAGGCTCAATGTTGCCTTTTGACTCTCTAAGCAGCACAACAGAG